TGGTGCTTTTGTCATCAATGAAAGGAATGAGGTATATTTTGGTGTTACTCATTCTGCCTAATGATCATGTATATAAGCACTCAGTTTTGTTGGAAAAGCTAGAAAAGAGACCAATCAATATAATACATTAAGGAAAGAACAATTACAATCTGCTTCATCATTGAGGGGCTTCCAACTTTAGTGGGGATTAGATTGCTGAGCCATTTTTGTTCATTAAGCACCTCAAAAGTACATGATTGTATGTGTTTATTTCATTAATTGGATACATAGATAATGTTACTATTCATAAAAGAAGAGCACAAATGACAGTCAACTGAAGATTTTCTTTCGCTTTACTTTGCTTAATACCTTGTTGTTGTTGTTGTTGTTGTTACCACTTGTTGCCACTGATTCTTTTCATCTTGTCTTTACCCGAGGGTCTATCGAAAATAGCTTCTCTGCCCCCAGGGTAGGAGTAAGGTCTACGTACATAATGCCCTCCCCAGATCCCACTTGTGGGAACTCACTGGTTTTTTTTGTTGTTGTTTTGTTGTTGTTAATGAACAAGAAAACGAGTAACAATAAGATCTGATCTACAGAAATCATAGTCCAGATTCAGATCAAAGAAGTTACATGGCTTCTTTTGAAGAAGAAGACGGTTTCATTGTTATTTGGTAAGTCTGCAATATGTTCATGATTGGTCAAGATTTGTGTCCAACGTGAGTATCATGGATGTTATAGAATTAATTGGCCAAAATTACTTTATAGAGGGGAAATTAGGTACATGATCGCAGACTCGCAGGTGGGGGATTCCGAAGGGAAATTAGGTACATGTGGGCAGATTGGGAAGATGCTACTCTGGGTATGAGGATGTGTAATGAGGGACCTCGTAAGGTGAGATTTCAGCAACTTTACTCCAGTCCCGCAAACTGATGTTCTGTAGTTGAGGTTGCCAGAAAAAGAGCACATTCTGTGTTTGGGGAGTTTAACTGATAGAACCAGGGACTTACGAGACTGAGAGATGGGTTATCCTCAAGGCAAGTTCAAGTCAATTTCTTGTAGAGATTATATCTCAAGAGAAGCAGAAGGGACTCTCCTTCCGAGTCTGTTTACGACTCCAAAAGAAGCGAGTTCTTCTGTATGAAAGGCAGCATGTAAATAGTGATTTTTTGCGCAAGCCTGCCAGTGAAACTTATCCACTATGCCTCTACCGCCAAATCATGTAATTTGCTGGATAGCCGACTTGGTGTCATTCAGGTGATATCCAAAACAGTGAAGCATCTGCTTTCTTGCTGCAAAATAAGAGAATTGAGATTAAAAAAAACTGGACCTGCACCCCATGAAGTAATATGGATAGTTTGAAGGAAAATGATATGGAGCTTCTGAAGAATGAAAAAATCTATATTCCATATTCATTTTTTAATTTTTTTTTCTGTGGAGCTCACGATATATCTCTACTAGGATTGTAATTGGGTAAACTTTTTTGGAGTCTCTCTTTTATATAAGCTTTATCTATAGGAGTACTTACTTTTAGCTATCATGGAGTATTGCTTATCCAAAATAAATATTAATTAATTAATAAATAAGTAAAGATAACATAATAAGCTCTATATGGAGGTTGAATCAATTTTATGAGTTTTTGCATAATTTACAAAGGGATGAAAATGAGAAGAACGGGTCAGTGTTACAGAATCCTTATCCTAGCTGCTCCATATTAACCTCTATCCACAACTTTGCTGTGTGTTTGCATGTGCCGATCTTAGTCAGATAACTTGTTGTTTCTTCCTAAAGGTGAATGAATTAGTTAACTTAGAAGTTAACTAGACTTAATTACCAAATACAGTCAGAATTGTGCCAAAGATAGAAGCAGAAGGTAGAGATAGAAAACGGACAGTTAAAAATAGCAAAATGTTGTAGATAAGTGACCGAGGAAGTGACTGTATGGAGAGAATGTCTGAGATGTGCCAAAACTTGTATATAACTATATCTCAAGGTTATATTCATGGACCATTAATGAAAATAATGGTACTTATCTAGTAAAATAGAATACATATAATATCACTGAAATGTAAGTTGCTTGGACTCGGGTGGGGGTGTCAGGTATGGGTGCGGATCTAGAAGTCGGATCCTTCATGATCAAAATCTTAAGATTCGGGGATACGGGTGCGGGGATTCGGCTAAAAATAATTCAAATATCTAAAAATAGAGTTGTAAAAATATGTATACATTATGAGACATTATGTAAAAAACTTACAAGGTATTCCGAGAAAGAGAAAATAATGATCAAGAGGAGAATCCGAGAAGAAGATAAAAGGAAAATGATTGATATAGAAGTTTCTATATACAAGGTATTCCATTTTCTTCGATTTCACCCTATCTTTTGTTGTGATTACAGAAATCATTATATTTGTCCCAAATTTCAACGTTGATTTTGGTCAAAGTACCCAAAATCGGTTGACCAAATCCGGTACGAATCCCACACCCACAACGCGGGTGCGGCATCAAAAGTGAAGAGTCCGAGCAACTTAGACTGAAATAATTTCTCCATACATACTGATTATTCAGTGTGGGTTGCATGAAGATATCTTCTTATATGTATGGCACCTCATGTTTTTATTCCTCATCCCCAATACATGCTTGGATATTTTCCTTCAATTTTCATTGTTAGTACAAGGACCACCTTACTCCACCTCCTCTCTGCACACTCGAGCCATTTCAGTTTTTTTTCCATTCTGGAAAAGGGTTTTTCTTTCTCCATGTACACTGATAATGTTCAGCTTACATTTATTTCTGTACTTAATAGTATCTATCTGGCTATATATGTGCTTAGTACATGTTAGTTATTCGAGTTCTTATAGTACTAATCTCTGTAAAATCTTAGGTGCTAGTTGTCCAAGAAAAGAGCGGACGATTCCGTGGAACCGGTGTGTGGAAGTTTCCTACAGGAGTTGTTGATGAGGTATGTTTGAATGATAAATTCTGTGGCATATATGAAAGTCAAATTAAATGAAATGTGAGGGGGAAAAAAACAAAAGTATCCGCTGCAAGAATAACTGCAGCTATGATGACGTTTTATCCACAGGGTGAAGATATATGTGATGCAGCTGTCAGGGAAGTAAAAGAAGAGACAGGGGTGAGTGAGAATTCCGATGAAATTTCTTGTTTTTAAATTTAAAAACTACTTATTCCATATTCTAGTTTGCTTCAGGATTTAGTAACAACACTCACTTGGTATCCATTGATGCAGGTTAATGCAAAATTTGTAGAAATACTGGCATTCAGGTTGTCTTTCACTTAAAAGTTGTTTAAGTTTCCGTTATATCTTTAATTTGTGATTACATTCTTGATAATATGTATGTATAATCTTGGTGGTTATGCTCTTATTCCCTTCTGATTGTGGAATGCCAACAACATAGTCATCTTCTTTTTACATGAGTACGAAACCTTTCGTTGTCCATATGAAACATTTTGTTGTCCCTTACATGTTCGGTCTGTTACCGTTTCTGCATTTTAGACTAAGATGCTTAGTATGTGTTTGAAAGATGATGTTATTAAATTGCAGGCAAAGCCACAAGTCATTCTTTGACAAGTCAGATCTTTTCTTTGTCTGCATGTTACAACCTCTCTCCTTTGATATCCAGAAGCAGGACGCGGAAATAGAGGCAGCCCAGGTATCAGAACTAGGACTTCCTATGTCAATGCTGTTAAAAATAATCATACTCGAGATTTTACGATTTTCCTTTTTCCGTTAACAAACATCTTTTTCCTCATCTGGGCAAATCTTGCATTCTTTTTTGAAGTGTTTCTAGCTGGACTCTTGTCGGTTTGATTTCGGACAAAGTAATCAAGTAGAAACAGTTGACATGAGCTTTAATTGAGATGAAGTGAGAAAATTAACTTGGATCCATCTAACTTACTCTTAGAAAATTACGTGCAAACTTGTAGATGGCAAAGTTAAGTTGCGTTAAATTAGCAGTTCCCAGCTCCATGCTGCACGCTCATATTTTTCCCTATCCTTTTTGGTGCTTTTCTACTTGCAGTGGATGCCATTTGAACAATATGCAGCTCAGCCGTTTGTCCATGGACATGAGCTTCTAAGGTACATTTCTGACATATGCTCGGCGAAGCTGGAGGGCAGATATACTGGATTCTCTTCAGTTCCTACAGTGACCAGTTTTTCTGAGAAGAACACCTACTTGTACATGAATGGCAATGTCAGAACAAATAGTCGCGGCAACCCCTAATGTGAGAGGCAGCTAAAAAACTGGTTCTTCCCTCTCCCAAAGGGGGGAAAGGAAGAAATATGGATAGGAAGTTTGATTCACTGTGACTTCAATGAAGTTTATAAAGGTTCAATTCTTTTATATTATGATGTAATAACATGAGATCAAAGTGTTCTATGATGGAAGTATTAGCTTTGAGATTTATATTTTTGAATGTGAAATAGACAATGCATCAAGTGTACAAGAATTATTTGTGTATTTATGTTTGTTTGATTGGTCTTTGGAACTCTCTTCTACTTATTGAAGTGTCACACGGAGCTATTGTAACTTTCCTTGAGCCGAGGGGCTATTGGAAATAGTCTCTCTACCGTCACAAGGGAGGGAAGTCTGCGTACACACTACCCTCCTCAAACCCCATTTTGTGGGATTGCACTGGAGTTTTTGTTGTTGTTACTAGGAGATATTGAAACTTAGTGTATTTCGTTGAAATCACTATAAATTTCTAGAGATACAAAAAGGAAAAGAAATGAAGTAAATCAAATCTAGTCAAACTAAAACTATATTTAAGATGCAAAATTAGAGATTGAACTACTAAGCATTTGTGTATAGCCTATTGCCTAACCTTTATTGGTCTAGGTTACTAGATACTCGTATTGATGAGCAAGTACTTGGCGGAATAGTTTAGGCGCTTTTAAGGTGACCAAGATATCATTGATGTGAGAATATACCGGAGAAAAATCTATTTTAACAATGATACAATAAACCATATATATAATACATATTCTATTTCTACTACATATGAGACTAGGCCATATTTTATTCCTACTACACATGGGACTAGGACATATTCTACTCCTACTACATATGAGATTAGGACTATTTATACATAACTATCTAACACTCCTCCTCAAGCTGGTGCATACAAATCATATGTACTGAGCTTGTTACATATATAACTTATACGAGGATCAGTGAGATACTTTGTGAAAATATCTACAAGTTGATCATTCAACATACAAGGTCACTAGACTCCACTTGGGCAACAAAACCAGGTGGTTGCTAATAAACAGAAGTTGGCCGAAAATTCGCTGGAAAATTTTAAAAATAGTGAGACTAAGCCGAATTTCGCACTAAAGAATAGGTTCTAAAACACCATTAGAAAATAAAAACTTTTCTGAAAATTACTGTTCACGCCGGAAAGTACCGTTCACGTGAAAAAGTGTATTGTTCACGCCAAAAAAAATAAAAGTTGTCAGAATTTGATGTAATTCATATGGGTAGGCTCGGAATCACTGGACGAGTAAGTTGTCCTGGAGAAGTTTTGTCAAAAAGTAGCTGGAATGGCTCACACGTGCCAGAAAAGTTATTGTAGCTCGCCGGAGCCCTAGTTTTGGCGGCACGTGGAGGCGCGTGAGGGACTTTCTGCCGGAGCGATTGGCTGGGGTGTTGTCGCATGAATTTTCCGAACAAGATGGTAGTGTTGGTTTTCGCACAACAGTTACCGATGAGGAGATAACGCAAATCAATCTTGAGCCATTAACCGGAAAGACACACATTGACTTACTTTTTTATTCTGATGGGACTGGAATTTTTTGGGTTTGGTCGCACAAGGGTTTCAGATATGATGGTGGTACTGGTATATGCATAGTGCCACTATAGCACTGTTGAACCCTGGAAACAAGACGAATTTGCTTGAAAATTGCACAACGATGAAATTTTTCTTCCCATATGTCGCTGGAATGACACACAACGATATTCTCACTGAAGCTCTGATATCATGTGAGAATGCACAGGAGAAAAATCTATTTTAACAATGATACAATGAGCCCTATATATAATACATACTCTATTCCTACTACATATGAGACTAGGACATATTCTATTCCTACGGGACTAGGACATATTTTACTCCTACTATATATGAGACTAGGACTATTTACACATAACTATCTAACAACTGTTATCGAGGAAAAATACATTTGTATATATATCTATACATTGTTATTATCTAGTGCTTTACATAAGATGACTTATTTTAGAATTTGAACATTGTATTAGAGTTGAAAATAAATTGCAAATAGAAACCACATTTATATGTGCACATTGGAGACCATTTTTTTTAACCTCATCCATACATAAATAGATTGTGTTATAAATAAAATTGTATTTAAGGTGAATGTCTATATTTTAGATAGATCTTAGGGTTTGTTACTTGGTGAATAAGTCACTTTTTCCTATAAATATAGGGATCCTATTCCATTGTAATTGATCCCAAAATCAATAAGAATTCTCTCTCTACTTTTCTCTACAATACTCTTCTTCTTCTCTTATTGTTTTATAACACGTTATCAGCACGAGACTCTAATGTCTCAAAAAACTCTTTGAGAAGACCAAGGTATAATTTTTCTCCTCTTTTAATTATGACTGATATTATGAAAAGAAAGTTCATTGCTCTTGAAATTTCGAGCAAGAACTATATGTCATGGGTGTTGGATGCTGGAATTCATTTAGATGCTATGGGTCTTGGAGGCGCCATTAAAGATAAAAATAAAGTATCTACCCAAGATTGTGCTAAGGCCTTGATTTTCTTGCGTTGTCACCTTGATAAGGGGTTGAAAATAAAATATCTCATAGTCAAAGATCTACTTGTTTTGTGGAATGGCTTAACGGAAAGATAAGACACGTACACCAACACATTTATTTGAACTTTATCAAGCATCTCTAAAGAATAAAGGCCCTGAAGCTAATTTTGTCTCTGATGATGAATTTGACATCACCCACTTGGATGTGGCAGACTTCTTTGAGTACCCTGATAGAAAAATAGACCAGTTGATCGGTAATGGATCCATGGTTAAATATGATTGAGTAATTTGATTTTTAATCGTAGTAGCTAGCGAATAAATAGCACGTAACCATAATTATTTACATGAGTAGTAGTCATTAGTATTATTTATTTTATGAAATAGTGTTAGTTCTTTTTATCAAATATAGTAATATTATTTTCAGTGTATTTCAAAGTAAAACATTTCTGTCAATCGAATTTTTCGTTACTTGAGACTTAAAGAATATTGTTTCATTTTCAAGTTTTAGTGGCCGTATTGGAAGTGTTGTTGTATTCTCCTGCTATGGATGCTATAACGTTCCGTTATCTCATTAGTTTTGTTGTCCATGAAAATCTTGACATGCATTTAATGGATGTGGTTACAGCCTGCCTTTACGTCTCACTTGATAATGAGATATACATGAAAATTTTCGAGGAATTTAAAATGCCTGACGCGCATAATTCAAAGTCCCGAGAAATATTTTTAATCAAATTGCAAAGATCTTTGTATGGTCTAAAGAAATCAGGAAGAATGTGGTATAAACGACTTAGTGAGCATTTATTAAAGGAAGGTTATATAAATGATGCCATTTGTCCATGTGTTTTTATAATAAAAACAACATCAAAATTTGTTGTACTTGCTGTATATGTTGATGACATAAATCTTACTGGAACTCCTATATAACTCCAAAAGGCAATTGATAATTTAAAGAAACAATTTGAGATGAAAGATCTCGGAAAGACAAAATTATGTCTCGGTTTGCAAATTGATGTTGAGATTTTAAGCTTGTGTAGCTTAAAGATGGTGAATGAGAAATGGAGGAAAAATAAAATATTTGAGTTTCCCTCCTTGGCAAAGGGACATTGTCCCATATTGGAGGAAGAAAAGGCTTTTGATGGCTATATATATAATTGCTCTTCTTCTAGCTCTTAAAGAGTTAAGAAGAAGGCAAGCCTCGCGCCGCCGTCGTCGCTCGCTCGCTCGGCTTCGGATTTGGTCAAAGATTGATTGATTAATCTTTTTGGACAAAATTTCTTTCAATTATTTAATTAATTAATTAAATAATTAACGAAAAATTCAATCTGGAATAACGTATGATACAGTTTGAATCCTAGAATCTTTCCTTACGAAATTTTCTGAGCTTCTTCTTCTTCTGCACAAAAATTACAGTGTGTTTTACAGCCTTCAAGTGTCTCGCTGTTCACCGGCGTTTTGGTACCAACACTCCGGTGAGTTAAATCGTTCTATCCTGGGAGGATATATTCCAGCACCTCGGGTACTTGAGGGGAATAATTTCCTTAAGGATACACTGTGTATTCAATGGGCTCGATTTATTCCTATACAGTTTTTCCAGAATTTATTTCGTTAAACAAATATTACTAACTTTCTGTTTTGTTTATATATTTCAGAAAGTTTAATAGTTTATTACATCAATACAGAACTATAACAATCTTAAGGAAATTATTTTATTCTGTATTTTATTTGTAAAAATTAAAACCTGTGTGATTTTCTACTCCTTCTGAATTTTACTATTCTGATTTGAAGATATAAAAACTTCATCAGAGTATTGAAATTCAGAAAACGATTTGAAGAACATAAAAAACTTCATTGTTTTCTGTGAAACAGTATATAAAAAACTTCAGTTTTATTTCTTATACATACTATTTTTTTTGTTAATAACAGTATTGTTTACTGTTCTGGTTTTGCCATTAATTGAATTCTTCTCTTGTTTGCAGTGAGAAAATGGCAATTGATAACGAAAATTCTTCTGCGACTGTTGCGGCAACGACGATAGCCTCGTCAAGCCGGACTGTTGTTCCACCGGCAGAGAAAACGGGGAAATTTTCCGGAGCCAACTTCAAAGGATGGCAGCAAAGGGTGTTCTTCTGGCTTACCACACTTGGTATGCAGAAATTCACTAGTGAAGAACCTCCAGTGCCTGCTGCAGACATGTCGGACAACGAAAAATTCATGATTGTTGAGGCGTGGAAGCAGGCAGATTTTCTTTGCAAAGGCTATATCATAAGCGCTTTAGAGGATGACTTATACAATGTGTACAATGCGATGAATACTTCGAAAGAATTATGAGACGCACTTGAGAAGAAGTACAAGACTGAAGATGCATGCTTGAAGAAGTTCGTGATTGTCAAGTTTCTAGATTATAAAATGATAGACAGNTAATTAATTTAGAAGTATTGCCTAAATTCGAGTGTAATAAATCAAAATGTCAAATATGTGTTGTGTCTAAGTTTGTAAAACATCCTTATAAGTCTATTGAAAGGAATTCAAATCCTTTAGAATTAATTCATACTGACATTTGTGATATGAAGTCGACACCATCTCGAGGTGGGAAAAGTATTTTATTACTTTTATTGACGACTGCACTCGATATTGTTATGTTTATTTGCTTAATAGTAAGGATGAAGCAATTGAAGCATTTAAGCAATACAAGAATG